TTTCCCGACGCGCGACTAAATGTCAAAGAAGCTAGCAAATCAAGGAGGCACATCAGCTCCTTAACGAAGCGATCACAAGTGTTTAGTTAATTTAAAATATAAATAATAATGATAATAATAATAATAATGATGATACTATCTCTAATAATAGTTTAAATAATAATTATAATAGTAGTAATAAAATAATAATATCGAAAATACAGTTGCAAATCCTTCTTCTAAGCACTTTTTTCACTTTTAATCATCGTTCTACTTCACAATAAGAAGGGTACGGCCAAAATTGGATTAGCGATAATTATTTTAAGAGAATTAATTTAGACCGAAGCGAAAAAATGCCCGCTCTGGTGCCACTATCTCTTAAACAAACGTGACTACAAACGTACTACACCTACAAAAATTGCTCTCATCTCTTCATTCACTAACACATTAACAAATTGAAATATAGCGGCACCAATCACGAAGAGGAAATCGCTCTCGACTCTTACCAGAGTGACTCTAATCTCTACTTATAGGATCTCTACTCCATCCTCTTTCACGCGGATGCATGCGAGACAAAGCATCTGTTCTAATATCCTGTCATACTCTATTCTTCTCATTCCTTCTTTCTCTAAACCAATCCATTCATATGTTCGGAGTTTGGACGTAATACAATTATTATAAGATAAAAATATTAATTGCAATATAAAGTATTATATACATTCAGTTAAAAATAAAAATAAATACAAAATTTTAGAGTCAAAAGGCTTTTAGAATGCATGTAAATCGATCTGTTAGAAGAGTCGAGTGTTTGAAAATAATTAGATAATAAATTAGATAATAAAAGATAGATTAGTATCTTTATTTGTTTCTTCGATATACCGTCATACCGCCCGCAACAATTAGCGTGGTACATGCGTCATATATATTTATCAAATAATTGATAATATTTTTTCATAAAATATTCTGAATATACATGTGATTGAGATATCATATAAATGAATGTTAATATTAACACACGGTTTCTTGTTCAAAAGGAGAAAAATAGGGAACTCGAAAGAATATATTTCCATATCAGTTTATTATTAGTCCATTTTCAGAATACAGTTAACAATGTTGATTTATTTTTTAAGATTACATTTGTCGAATTGCAACATTTATAGATAATCTACGACAATAGATGTTCTCAGGGCCACAAGAAGACCAGCTTCCAAGAAATATCGTATACTACTTGTTTCAATATTAATTCACATTACAATATATATTATGTACAAAGCATATAGCAAGTAAATGAAAATAATTAGTTTTAGATCGTGTCATATAATAAAGAAAATTCAAACATTTTATTTGAGATA